TGTTTTTATTTCAGGTACAAGTAAAAATGTGAAAAATGCTAAAAGGAGTGAAAAAGGGTAAAATTTGGAGCAAAAATGCAAAAATGTGCAAAAGTATTTTGGCACCTAAGAGCTAGAACTAGCGCTTAAGCTCAGAGGCCTCGCGCTTAAGCACCAAAAGCAGTTATCTGGCGGTTTTCTTCATTTGACCAAATTTTGAAGAGGTATTTGAGGCACCTATTGGTTTAAGAGGGTGGTTATGACCACAAAGAACGATAATATTTTTATAAGACTTGTGAAAGGAGTCATCCCTTGGAAAATACATCGAATTTAAACACATTTTGAAGAGTTTCCAAGGCATCTTTTGGAGAATTATAAAAGAAGGAAGTTTTTACATTTGAAGTGGGTGCTTGAAGAGGGAGAGAGTGCTGGAGTCCAGAGAGGAAGATCGTGGATAATCTTGTGGAGAGATTCAGGCACCAAAAAAATTTACTTTTTCCTTTTGTTTTTAGTTTTATTTTGAGAGTTGAGAGTGTTGTAAAAGAGAAGAGATTCAAAGGAACTTCAAGATTTTGGTGGAGGATTTCAGATAAGTTATTATCTTTTGTTTTAAACTACTTTTTGTTTTAATCGAGACTTTTTGTTGGTTTGACAATGATTTCTACTTTTAAACTAAAGTGTGATTTTGTTTTCTCCATGAATTTTGAGTAGTTTTCTTTATCTTTCTCCTTAAAATGTTAAGTAATTAAAGTTTGGATGGAAGATGTTGAGAGTATAGATCTTTAATGTTGGAAGAAGTTGTGATGATTTAATTCTATGAACTTCGTTTACTTCTTGATTTGGCCAATCCAGATGTAAGAACCGGGCCGGTATTGTCTCAGTCAACAATTGGAAAGAATCACATGAGGTTGTATGAATGAGATTGTAATTCATATGATTTAGTGTAAATAAATAGGGAAATAATCATTGAAGGGTATAGAGTTAGAGGACTTTAAAGTGACAGGTTAAAGCCCCCAACTTGATTTATCGTTTTAGGTTTTGATACGAGATGTTAGCCCCCAGGTGGAGGGAATCGACGGAACTCTAGAGTGAGAGCTAGTATCTTCTCTGCTTAGCCGGTCTTTCGCCTAGCGGGTCTTTAGAATTACTCAAACTTTAAATTAGTCAATGTTCTTTATAATATCTCTAGTAAGGGTAAAGAATATAATTGCTCATATTTGGCATAACTAACTCAATTTGCATACTCTCAATTTGCATACTTCCACAATAGAATTCCTATACTTATTACTCATTCATGATAAGGAGAAAGATATTTTTCAAATTTAGTACTTTTTCTTTTACATAAACTCAAGTTATCTTTTCAAAACATATGTTTAAAAACATTGTTCTGTCAACATATCAAAATTACCAAAAAGATTTTAATTTTAATACTGCAAAAATATTTGTAGTGTAAGTAATTGTATTTTTAGAATAAAAAGTTGTTGTTAAAAAGTGCATATTATGTATTCTCTCTGTGGGTTCGATATTCAGCTCTTAATAAAAAAGTCTTATAATACTTGAGAACAATATGTATACTTGCTTAGTATCCCAATATATATATATGATCAACGAATATTACGAGACATATGTCAACCGCTCTCCATGTTTGACATCATTGTTTATTAGAAACAAATATGTTGGGGAATTACTTGTCGGACACCCAATTAGATTCATCAACATGTTCCAGATGACCAAAAACATATTTACGGATCTTCTGGCAGAACTTAGCATATGTCACAGACTTCATGGGTCATTGAGGCGACTACACGCAAGGTACTAACAATCACCCTATACATATTAGCGCAGAATAAGTCAATGCAAGGTGTGATTGAACAATTCCAACACTTCTCTAACAAGATAAGAAGATACATTTTGGTCAGTTTGAATGCACTTGCCAACCTTTTTGTGCAGGTTATTAAACCAAAATTCAAACGAACGCCTTCAGAGATTTTACACGATGCACGCTAACGTTTCAAATTTAAGGCATCCAAATTTAAATATGCATGCCTTATATTTTGAACTAATTCTTATTTGCGTAGGATTGGATCAAAGTAATTGATGGAACCCATGTTGATGCACAGGTTCCAAATAACAAAAAGGTTGCATTTATCAGACGTTGCGGGTCACCGAGTCAAAATATCATGGTCGTTTTTGACTTTAACATGTGTTTTACATTCGTCATGCCCGATTAAGAGGGTAGTGCGCATGATAACAAAATCTTTAGTGAGGCGACACGAAACATTGAATACAACTTCCCACACCCTCCTCCAAGTATGCTTTAGCTTCAAATACTCTAGTTATTTACTTTATGCTTGATACCATATGTGCAAAACATCTCAAGCAAATATTATTTGGTGGATGTTGACTATCCGTTGCAGCGAGGGTATCTCAAACATTTTTTGGATACGAGATATCATATACATAATTTCGAGCGTGTCAGCAACGTAACTTGTGACAGGAAAGAAATGTTTAATAAACGACATTCTTCCTTATGAGGTGTCCTCGAGAGGAGTTTTAGTGTTTGGAAGAAGAAATGGGGTATACTCTGTGAAATCTTACCCGTTTATCAAATAAATCTAGATTGTCATTGCAACAATGACTCTACATAATTATATTCAGCGACAACCTTCCCGCAATGACACTGACTTCCGTATATTGGTTTGAAAATTGTATGCTATTTCAATTTTTGTAATTATTTTTTTAGTAAATTCAATTCTTTTCATCAATATGATTTGTATTTTGTAGGAATCAAGAAAGATGAGCTCAAGAGTTTCGGAGACATCCGGACAACTTCTATGCCACTGCTGACTGCAGACTACCTTATTGACGTCATGTCAGGCACACAGTTATGGGAGACGGTTCTACAGGTGCCCCTAAAGCATGACTAAGAAGTGTGACTTCTTCCGGTGGGTGAACAATCTGTCAGATTTCACTGCAGGCAGTGATTGAGATTGTATGGTGTCACTGGAGTACGTTGTGGCACGAGAGATACATAGCCTACATGCTAAAAACAATTTAATCATTTTATTAAATGTAATTTTAATATTTCTTATATTTTTTTCTTGCACACTTGGTACTCACTGTTAAGTGAGTTGTGCATCTATTTTTTGTATTTTTTTTAACTGAATTTCTGCTTTTGAAGTATCAAATATATTTATGTGAGTTATGTTACAAATAAATTTACTAAATAAAGGAAGAATGATAATTTTTCTAGAAACAGCTATCCCACAACTATTTTCACGCAGCTGCAGCAAACATACAACCAACTTCCCCACAACAGCTTCCTGGGGCAGCGCAGTTGCAATTGAAAAGCTTTAGCTGCCCCAAATAGGCCCTTAGTCCCTCAAAATGTATTCCAAAGGTTTTTATTATGATTTAAGTGTATGATTTGGGCTCACTCAGACTTAGATCGAACCAAGTTTGATGTCAACTGGCTCAACTTGTCGAGACATTTCATTTGTATTAAAGTATATGTAATTAAATATTTGGAGCTCTCGGTCCCGATGTGCATTGAAATTCATGCATGATTAAGATAATTTCATGGTGACTTATCCATTCAAAGATACAAAGGAATAATGAAATGAATGAATGTCTAAATACCCCAGAGGTTCAATGACACGAATATGCCTAAGTCAACATGAATTTACTCAAGTTAGCTTAGGTTGTTATGAACCGCCGGGCCCAACATAAATTAGCCAGATTAATGGAAGACTCGCCATTCACAAGACTTGTAATCAACTAACCAAGTCATACCTAACTCATCAAATTGATATATTGCAATTGTTGTTACCCAAGCTCAAAAATATTCAAATTCCTCTTAACAAGCTATCTTATTTATCTTATAAAGAATAACTAATGTCTTAAGATTAACTTTTTAAATTTTTTGAAAAGATAATATATACTTGGCTTATTCATATAATTCACAACGTAAATTTTTCTATATTACATAAATCTCAACCAAAATTTATAAATGATTGGTCACAAGATTTCCTTCTTTTCCTCTTCGTTATGGTTGCTGGCAATTTTTTTTTTGTAACGTTTAAATAATTTTGAATTTACTCGAATATAATGTACATACCTTTGACGATTTTGATATGCCCTCACTATGGAACATAGCCACTTATAAGCTCCAAATCGCACCAGATCATGTCATTCTAAGCATGGCGTTAGGGGTGTAAACTTGCTCGTGTTCGACTCGTTTATATTTCGAGTTCAAAAAGTGTGTTTTTGTTCGGCTCGTTTGCTTAGCCAGCCGAACACGAGTTGTTCACGAATAAAAAATCATTTTGACAACCCTAATCTCGTAGCCATAAGATGTTAAGGCTTGGACAAGATTTAAAAACTATTATTTATATTAAAATATTATTTGAATATAATTTAATAAATTTTATTCTATTTTCTTAATTAATTTTTTTAATTGATTATAAATTTTTGTAGTCTTGTAGTCAATTAAAATTTTTAAAAATATTACTCATCAAGTATATATATAATTGATTAGTAGTATTTCGAGCGAAAACGAGTCGAAACGAACAAACCTTTGTTCGTGATTTCGAACTAAAATGAGTCGAATACAAATGAATAAATTTTTGTCGAATACGAACTTCTTAATGAACCGAAGATGAACTCTTTTGAGAAGCATCCACTTAAAACCTAGAATAAGTTTTGGGTGAGTGAAGGGTGAGATGGGGGTGAAGGCATTTTAGTGATTGAGGTGGGGCTCCCAGTAAAGAGAAAAGCAGCGATCGGTCCCATTTGAGAAAGGGTGACGTGCTTCTAGGTGGCGGTGGATCCCCGTCCCTCTTGTCGCTGTGACTCTCACTTTCATGAAATATATTAAATTCATTTAACAAATAATTAAATTGGCCGCACCACCATCACACGAGTCTCCAACTAATTTATGTTCCGTCGCTCAAATTTCTCTTAAAAAAAAAAAACTAATGAAAAGATGGTAATTTTATGAAATTTTCCATTTCCCTGTCGCGAGTTTCCACTTTTCGTTCTTCCGTTTAGGGCGAGGTTAGAATTCCTGTATCTACTTAAAAAATCCATCCTGCAATCCATTTTTTATTTTTCTGGAGCAAAAGAGGGGTTTGATTTCTTCTCAAGCGCGGCAGGGCTTCAAGAATTTTTTTTTTTTGCTTCTTTTCCTGTTCTAGTTTCGAGGAATGAAGTTTGGTTCTGTTTTCATTACCATTTCTCTGTCTCCACCCTTTTTGTGGTCGTGAAATTTCTTCTTTTTTTTTCTTTTTTCATATATGTTGTGGAATTTTTTTCATTTTAGTTATTTTCATCATCGTCAAAAATCTGTTTTGAGTTTGTTTGATTTCCTTTCTGGTGCAGGATTTGTCTACTCGGAAGCGGCCCAGTGCTTTTCTTTTCTCGGGTCTGATGGCAGCTAGGGTTTTAACAGTTTGGTTCTCGACCTTTTGATGTTTAGTTTATGGGGGAAGCGAGCTAGTGGGTTTCTTCTTGATCAAAGTTGCGGAGTGATTCCGCTTTCGATTTCGTTTTAGAGGATAATCAGTTACTCCTTTGTTACTTCTAAGAATCTGATATTGTTACTGTTTGTTTAAATTGGGATTTTGCTCTTATCGCATTGGGCTAGTTCGGGTCTCCAAAAACTGCCGATGAGGTAAAGACAATGGTGGCCGAAGAGGAAAGCGGGTATGTGACAACGGAGAGTCATTCGGAAGATCCATTGAAATCTGGAATGGACATTGATGAGAACGGAGTTGTTGCAAGTTGGAACCAGAATGGTGATTGTTCAACACAGGAGACAGGTGAGGGAAGCAGTGAGGGGTTCTATCAACAAGCCTCTCAGGAGAACAAGGACCATCAGGTCCCTAAAAGTTACGGTGCTTGTGCCAAAAAATTTAGGTTTAGGGTATCAGAACAGACAGAAGATTCTATGAGGAGGAAAGATAAAGAGAAAAGTAAGCTGGACAGGAGACTTAGCAGGCAGGATAGGATAGAACTTGGCCGAATGTTTCAGGGTGCGGTAAGCTCCCATGATTGGGAGCTTGCTGAGAATCTAATTCTCTTAGCTGATCCCCAAACCCTGAATGATGCGCTATGCATAGCACTGGATTCTATATGGTTTTTGAAGGTTCGACGGGAACTTGATGGGATCACTGGTCTAATCAAGAAGATCGTCTCTTATGGTGCTCGTGATTTCACAAGGGCGGCCCTAAGAACATCATTTCTCGCTTCTTGTGTTTCTGCATGTCAGAGCAGGACAATAAGTCTAGCAGATACTGTTGCCGTCATGGCTCAAAGGTATATATCTATGCATGAAAATAGTTATGTCGGCTAAACAGAAGGCTTCCAGTTCATGGTTTCTTTGTTTATTATTATTATTTTTATTATTATTATTATTATTTGGATTTTGCTTCAGATTGCATGATCGTCTTCAAGAATGCAACGGGGATGAGATTTTAAAAGCTGAAGCAGGAGCAAAAGTTCAGAAGTTCACGGAATGGGCCTTAAAATGCATTGGTTTTCACTCCAGGTGCCAAGAGAACCGGGGCAAAGGAAATCCCAACACCGCCATTGAAGTGCACTTCCAGCTCTCAGCGTTCAAAACATTCCTGGACCTTGCTGGCAATAATCTCTCAGGAAAGGACTTCACTGAGGCATTTGATGCTGCTTGTTTCCCTCTGACTCTCTTTTCAAGCTCTTTCGATCCTGGTTGGGCTTCTGGAATCTCAGCATATTTGATACAAGGATTGTTGGGAATGTTGGTGGAGGGTGGTGCCGACAATGTTAACCAATGTTTTTTGGAAGCGTCTCGCTTTGGTAGTACTGAACTTGTGCGCATCCTACTCCAGGTAACATTAACTTTATCCGAGTGCAGAGTTTCTGGTAAATCTTTTGATATATTACCTCACTTTTTTGTAAATTATGTTATAGTTATAAAAAAATTAGTTAGTTTTCTTAATAGTTACATTTTTCTGCTTAATAGTTAAATTATATGTTAAACTAAGTTGTTTTATTGAGGATTGATTATTATATTTTCTATTAAGTATTGGTTAAATATGCTAATGGAGTATAAATTTGGTTTATTATTTATTAGTTAAGCTTATGATAATTAATTTTTCTTGATTAACCATATATTGGTTGATTAATCTACTTCAGTGGTTTCTCAAAGGAATTGGATTCATACTTAATAATCAAACCAAGTAAAGTCTGCTACGATCAAATGCGTATGATGAAATCAAAGCTCCTAATTATCATATTCTTTTTTGAATCTGAAGATGAGCCCTTAATTATATTGCTAAACAAACCAGGCTTAACTATAGTTTCATTGTAGCTTACATTGATTTTCTGTATGCTTTCATGAGTGCATACATGTTGATATTTGTGTACTCTTAATCACATATGAATTTCATTTATGTACTATATATTTTGCATGCTTGTAGGATTTATTACGTAAATTCGCTCATTCACGCATATGTCAGTTTGCTTTTCTTTTTTCTACGTTTCTCTTGTTGCACCATGCTAATATTCCTCGTTTTTCACTAATTTATTTTCTTACTTGCTTATCTCCATTTTCCTATACTCAATAGGGGCATTATGTTGGTTTATTGCATGATAAACTAGGAATCATGGGACCATACTTAGAAATTTACTGGATTCCCAACCCAACCCTTTTTAGATAGATGATTTGCTCAATTTCACGTGATTCTAATGCTTTCAATTGTTCAATACTTAACAGTAAGTTGGGTGAATGTTGAACTGGCAAAGGTAGGAAAATGCATGGTTAATGGAATGACGGAATGAGGAATGAGCGAATGAAAAAGCAAGCAAAGACATTGAGTTGAATGGGAGAATAGAATAGAGAAAGAGCACTGAGCTAACTAGTGAAACGATAAAGGAAGATTTACATGCATACCACTCAATTACTACATAGTTTCATATCTAGCCTCTAAACTTAAATTTTTTTTACATACATGTCACCTAACATATACATGAAAAGGTTTATTTTTCTTTTTAAAAGTTAAATTTGTGTATTTTTGATGTGATATGAAAGGTTTGGGTGGTATACACATAAAAAAGTTTAGGTGTTACATATGTAAATATATAGGAATTGGGTGGTATGTTTGTAAATGCCCCAACAAAAAAATGCATGAGCAAGGGAACTTAGTGTATATCAGTAAATGAATTGAATGTGGGCTGTTTTTTATTCACCGCTTTCACAAGTGACTGACTTAATATAATTAGTTATGAATGAGAGCAGAATGAGGGAGGAAATCGTTAAGTATTACTTGCCTCAGTTGTTATTTAATAGTGATTAGATATACAAAATAGTTATTAATTAATTACCAAGATAATGCTATTTTTTTATTCATGCAATAATTAATCAAAAGTTTATTGTTTGAACAAATCTGTATTAATTTTTTGCTAGAATATAAATTATCCTTGGAGTTAGGATTAATTTGAATAACTATTAAATGATTATTTATTACTGAAAATATTTTTCTATTGGTACAGTAACTAATTAACAATTAATTGGTAAAGTTATGTAATAGTTTATAGAATATTAATCTGTAATATTAACCTGTTGATTCATGCTTGGGGCAAAATAAGCCAATTTGTCATAGTAATTAATTAAAAAATATTCTTTTGATTAGCTATGCACCAATAATAACTAGGATATATAATTAATTTTGTATTAATTATAATTGTTTTTCGTTGTTCAAGCTACTAACATTAGTGTCTGTGTCCTTTACTAAATAGTTTTAGCTCTCTTACGATACTTTGGACAACAATTTTACTTTTGAATTTATCAAAAGTCATTTGCGCATTATGAAATAACTTCTTAATGAAATAAACTGGAAGTCTGTTGGTTCCATTTAATCTACAATACTTCTGGTGGATATCTACATAGTTACTAAAGAAGGAAGATTTTGATGTGCAATAAAATCTGTTTATTTTTGCAGCTGAATGGGACTCTAAAAGCTTTTTTGTTGGTCAACACCTTCACCTTGTTGTTTAAGGTGTAGAGAACGAACCTCCCTAACAATGAGTACACTACTTAGAAGTGTCAGCAAACGTTACTTGCATTTCAAACAAAATTATTTATAATTTGAGAGCATTAATGGTTTTCAATTTGTTGTTTTAGAGAGTATTTGATTCGTCACCATTTCCACTGATGGGGTACTTTTTCATCTTATGTAAGGCTACAAATGAACCAAATATTTGGCTAGTTATTTTTGGTCGGGCTTGATTAGAGTTTATTCTTGATTGGTTGGTTAGCTAATTGAACATGTTTGAGCATTTTTATGAATGCTCGATTGTTAAATGAATAAATTTGAATAGCTTATTAGTCAATTCATTTATAATCATGATTAATATTATTTATCGCTTGTGAACAAGTTCTTTAAGAAGCTCGATGAATTGTATAATAATGGCTTGATATAAAACATATTTATATTTAATTAAATTAAATCATTAAATCATAGTTCATAAAACTAATTATTAATGTATATAAAGTTTGATTAAATCATTAATAATATTAACTTAATTAAAATAACATCATTTTAGTTACATATTCTCCTTAATCTAATCTAAAGATGTTCCAAAGAAAATGAGAAACCATTGTAGGCCGAAACTCTCCAGTTTCCCGTAGAGGCTTTAATCTCTGCTTTTTAATACTTTTGATGTTTAAGAAATAGCCAGAACTTTTATGCAACATTTTGATCATATGAGCTCTTCAACTCTTTCCGTTTCCAATACATTTTCCATTTCCAGTGTGCGTGTTCGGGCTGTTGCAATACTTCAAGGTGAGAGTCTCTCGCCCTTCGTCGTCCGTGAAGGTTAATTATGTTATTCATTTAGTTTGTCAAAGCTTGAATATTACATTTTAATTCTAAATTCTAAACCTAAAATGCCAATCAATAAAATACAATTTAAAATAATAGATTTTTTGCTATGACGTTGATTAATTTATTGTCTAATAATAACTAAATCATTATTTAGCTATAATTGGAACATGATCAAACATAGATTAATCGTGGTTTATGTGAATCAAAGATGATTCGATCATGATTTATCATTATTTGAGGATGTGCCAATCATTGTTCATTCATTACTTGATGATTATTGAATTTTTTTCTTTTGTTAAATTCTCAAAGATGGTTTGATCATAATTTGAAAGTTGCTCAATCTTTGTATAAATATTATTCAATCTTGAAGATACTTCAAACAAGGATGGTCTTTGTTTGATTATCGTTATTATGATTCAAAGAAAGTTTGATTTTGGTTTGAAGATGGGTTAGATCTCTGTTTGATCATTATCAAAAGATAGTTTGATCTTTATTCATTTAGAAGTTCATTCAATTCAACTATTATTTGCTAAGCTAGCAAGCTACTTGTTAATAAGCTTGATAAGACTTGTTAATAGTCTTATTAAAGCTAAATTACTTAGAGAACAAGCTGTGCTTGTTAATAGGTTTGATAGGGCTCATTTGGGTGGATAATTTAATGCTCAATAGCTTGATAAAGCTCGATTATGTCCCAAATGCAAAGGGTTTGTTTAAAGATTTATAAGCATAAAATGAACCTAGCTTAGCCGAGCTCGAACAATCATTCATTTAAATAGATCAAACAATACTATGATAAAAGCCTGAACCAAGATCAAACAAGCTTTTTGTAAATGAGATCGAGCTTGGCTTGATTCATTTCAGTTCGTTTGCAGCCCTAATTCTTACTTCTTATACCTGCATACTTCTTCTTGCAATAAATTTTATAAGCTTGCTTGTTTACTTGTTTTTTGTCAGAACATTTTTTGCTTGGTCAGTGAGATATTGTAGCACCAACAAAGATACCATGCTATCGATGAATATAATCTTTTCCTAATAAGTTGAGGAGAAAAGCTTCGTTAGTTGTCAAGAGGCTGGTCCTTGGATTCAGAACTTCATAAATGCCAACTTATCTTTTTTTCCCAACAAACTAAACTATTTTGTCCTGCTTAATCTTGTAAACTTTGGAATGTATGCAAATTCTCTGAGTTCTCATAATCTCTGTGTTCACTGCACTGACCAAAGAACCCCAAATCCCTAACAAACATTTTTTTTTATTAGCTACCTGATGGTACATTGTGAATATGGGAAACGATAAAATTGGAGAAAATTATGACTTTTTATAGAATACAACCATGCTGAGGGATTGGGTTGTAAACATCCTCCCTTTTCTCTTCTGTGTTGTTTAAATTAATTGCACGGTTTTATTTTTCTTGTCTTGATACTTGTCATGCATGATGTGATGGATTTCTGCCTTACACATGTTGAGAATTAGCACATTATACAAATTTCATATACTGCAGAGTAGATGGGGAGGATGCAATATAATAGGAATTTGGTTAATTGAAAAACATTCTGAAAACAATCTCTCTCTCTCTCTCTTTATCTTTTTTTTTTTTTTATTTATACATGTATGTGTGTATGTGTGTGTATATCATTCACACACACATCAGTATTAACTCTGCCAACACTTTATTATTTCCTTGTGTGTGCTGACTTCTAGATTTTGAGAGCAAATAATTTTTGCCTCCCAAAAATCAATATTTATCTGAACTCAATAGATTCTGAGATGAAATGACTTTTGCTCCCAAACCTCAATATTTATCTAGACTCCTCATGGTCTAAAGAGTTGTAATCGGGGGTGCTTTAATATGCATCTCTCCTTGCAATTTCGGTCTAGTTTGCTTCTTTAATGATGATGAATGTGTGCACAAAATTTGAGTAGCCAAACACTTGATAGGAATGATTGAACTAAGTCTAGTGATATAGATATCAATGAGGGTTTGATTAAGAGCTTTGATTTTGAA